TGTCATCTGCATATAATGACAATTTTACTTCCTCCTTTCCAATTTGGATGCCTTTTATTTCATTTTCTTGTCTGATTGCTGTGGCTAGAACTTTCAGAACTATGTTGAATAGAAGTGCTGAAAGTGGGCAGCCTTGTCTTGTTCCTGATCTTAAGGGGAAAGCTTTTAGCCTTTCCCCATTGAGTACAATGTTTGCTTATCATATATGGCCTTATCATATATGGGCTTATCATATATGGCCTTTATTATGTTGAGATATGATCCCACTATTCCCACTTTGCTAAGAGTTTTTATCATAAATGGCTCCTGGATTTTGTCAAGTGCTTTTTCTACATCTATTGATATGATCATATGATTTTTATTTTTCATTTTGTTAATGGATGTATTACGTTAATTGATTTGCAGATATTGAACCAACCTTGCACACCAGGAGTGAATCCTACTTGATCGTGGTGTATGATCTTTTTAATGTGATGCTGAATTCGGTTTGCTAGTATTTTGTTGAGGATTTTTACATCTATGTTCATTAAGATCTTTAAAGGAGAATAAATTTACAATGAAAAGAAGGAAAAGTTGTTAATTATTATTAAAACTTTTAGTTATTATCTATAAAATCTGGAATGCTGGATGTTTTTGAGGCTTTTGCAAAGTAGCATAGATAGCTAGGATGTGAGTGATTGAAATTCCTAGAAAACTCTTGTTCAACTCTATGCTTCAGACATCACTTCAGCATTTGGGTGACTAAACAGAGGATGCAGAAGATGAACATCTCTGAAGAAAGAAACTTTTCAAGGACTGTCATGTGTTTGACCCTGAGCAAAGACAATTTCCCAGAGGCAGACACTGCCTTTTTAGGTCAAAGCTGACTCACAGCTTGGCAAACAGAGCAGCCTTTAATACTGCTTTCCAAAATGAGTTGATTCTAAGTGGGTTATTCATAAAACTTAATTCCTCATCCATCTTTCTCTGGTTTACTTGTCATTAGCTCATTGTCTTCCAGCAAGTTCCACCTCTAGCCCCACCCCACCACCCACCAAAAGAAAGAGAATCAAAGTGAGAAAGGAACTGGGTTCAGATGGTGATGTCTGCTGTTTAGAAGGGACAGGCGGTGGGTGGAGGAAAGTGGGCTACTGTGTCACAGAGCAGAAGCTGCCGCTGCTCCTCAGTTTGCTTAGCTCCTTGACAGACTCTCCACTTCCTCCCACTCAGAGCAGCTGAGGGTTGTCGGCTTCTCCAAAGAGGGATGTAAGGGGGACCTGTGTAAGATGACCCTTGCGGCGCCAAAGTAACCCTCTTCTCAGGGTTCCAATCTGCACCCTTTCCTGGTGGGTCCTGTTGGTACAAGTTCCTGTAAGAGCCATTACCCAATCTGTCCTTTAGGGCCATTGTCCACAGCAGACATTGTCACAAAACAGCCTCATAAATCTAATTCCATTCCATGATGCTCTTTGAAGAAGCTTTCCAAAGTCCCAGTTTGCTTCTTTTCTATGCTCTGCCAATTTGGACCATTCTGTTGTCTCATCACTCCTAGGTGGTTCGAGATCAGATCTCTCATTGCACAGTGAAGTTGCGCCAGACCACGGGGTTAATGGAGTACTGCCTGGAGGTGATTAAGGAAAATGATCCTAGTGGCTTTTTGCAGGTAAGTATCAGTTTCTGCTTCAGGTTCTCAATGTCCCAAGACCAGACTCCCAACCGCCCTGGCTGTGCATGGGTCCTTCCATAACAGAACCTACCTTCACGCTGCAGTGTGAATGTGGGTGCCTGCTAACCTCCACTGACTTCCTGAAGTCTCTGCCACAACATGCTACGAGACTGAGAAGTACATGGGCTTTTTTGTTTGGTTGGTTTTGTTCTTGGGTTTAATCATGAAAACACAATCCCCTATAGTTCCTCCAAAGCAAAGTTATTTATTGCCTTGCCTAAGAATTGGACCCTTTCCCACTAATATCTCCTGGACAGTTTATCAGCTAGAATGTCTAAGTATGCAAGGTTTCTAGCTTTTTGATACTTCCTACTGCCATAAGTCAGTGATTTCCCAGATAGAGTGAAGTTTTTCCCATCCCTTGGATGTCTCATTTCTTCACCTGCTATGATGTCAGCTGAATTTTACTTAAGTTTCTATCCCAGTGATTAAGGGACCTTTTATTAAGGAATATGTAGATCGCTTGCAACTCATTTTGTACCAAATTGGCCAAGTATGATGGAGACTAAATATAAGAAATGAAAGCATTCTCTACCAAAGAATAGAGTGATACATGAAGATGATGGCTTAACGTGTAAGAAATTCCACTTTACAGATTACCATATGCAACCTCTTTAAACTATTTTGTAAAACTCATGTCCAAGTCTTGACAGGATACCCACACCTCATTAGAATCAGGGTTGTTGGTTCTAGAAGGATTAATCGCCAACACATCATTATTTAACGTTGGCTTTTAGCTGATCCATTATAGCTAACATGATCATATATCTAGGTTTGTCTATTAGAGCAGTTAACAGCTGATAATTATTTCAAGCAACCCCTCTGACTCACAGAAGTGTCCAGATCTGAGTGATAAATCACGGGTCACCCTCATCCTAATAGGTCCTCACTGCCTGCATGGAAGTGTGAGCCCCAAGGCGGTTTGGTGCTAACACTCCAGGGGAGTCAAGAAGCAGTGTTCTGTGTCCGGTGTGGTGGTGTATTTCTTAGGCTGTGGTCTTTGATGTGACTAGATTTCAGATGCCCTCATAAGGAGAGTGCACCTGACGGAGGACCAGTGGGGGAAAGGCACACTCACTCCCAGAATGACCACGGACTTTGACTTGAGTCTGGACAACAGCCCTCTGCTGCAATCCATTCACCAGCTCGACTTCGTGCAGATGAAAGGTGCGTGCCCACGTCCTCCCAGCCCTAGCAACGCCCCGAGTGGAGACTGGTGCTCAAAGCAGGATAAGGGCAAACACAGAGCAGCTGCCAGGTTTATAAATGCCCTGAGAGGTGGGAAAGTAAACCTCTTTTTTTGTGGCTATGGACCTACCTCTCAGAAATTCACATTAATTCACATAAACTCAACGCTTGCCACTTTGAGAGTCTGAGAGAGTTCACGTGCTCAGCATCAGAGCATAGTTGACATAAAAAGAGATAAGCGAGAGAGAGAGCATCACTGTACATAAATATAATCTTGTTGCAGAAAGTAACCCAGGAATATTGATACACATCAAGGGAGTTCAGAGTTGAAATGACTGCTTCCACATGGATAGAAATGGTGAGCAAATGGTTGAACACAGATTGATTAGCAGGAATTGGAGAGGATCAGTCGGCTTGCCAATAGTGGTCAGGAAAATGCCAACCTGGATACAGAAAGAAAATGAAAGTGTGAAATAAACTTTTTAACTTTTTTTAATTTTTTGGTTTATGTGATGAGGAAATATGGCAAGATCTCTTTGAGATGTTTGGGTAGATGTGAAGGGAAGTACAAGTACTTAAAATTATCTTAAGGAAAATAACTTTTTCAAAGAAAATTAAAAACTCAAGCCAACCACGCAATGATATTTTAATGGCAGTGTAAGTACTATCCATTTGAAAAGTATTTCCAATAGGTTTTTTTTTAACTTTTCATATTGAAATAATTATACATTCAGAAAAAGTTGCAACAATAGTAATGAGAGGTCCCATGTACCCTTTTATACCTACCCTTTGTCTGGTTTCCTTTGATGGTTACATCTTGCATAATGATCATATAATGTCAAAAACCAGGAAATTGGCATTGGCATGTCTAGTTCTATGCCATTTTATCAGTTGTGTAACCACCACTGCAATAAAGGCACAGAGCTATTGCATCACCACAACGGTCTCCCTCGTGCTACCTCTTTTTTTTTTTTNAAAAGTGTTCTGTCTCCAATATTTTAGAATGAATTCATGTGTTGAATAGTATGAGATAGTGTACTATTACCTTTCAACTCCAAGATCCTCTGTTACCTTTCAGTTACCTTTCAACTTCAAGATCCTCTGGAAAAAGAAAGTTATAGTTATTCAAAAACATTCTGAAAAAAACTCTAATCTTTAATTTTCATGTGTGGTTGGTAAGTTAGCATACTAACAAAATTACTCAGTGAGAATGCTGAGAGATAATGATAAAGCTTACTGTTTCATAGAGCTTTTCGTATTTACAAAAGGTTTCCGTGCCCCAACTGTAGTTATTTGTAGAATGTTTGACTTTGAATCTGACTGTACTGTTGGGTTTTGTTAGAATCATCATTATTATTGTCATTGTTATCTTTGTTATTATTTACTATGTATTGCCTATTATATTCCCATTATGTTTGCAAAAGAATTAATTATATGGCCATATCATTGAGTACAAATTTACACTAGGGATATTATTGGCTTGTCAAACTGCTTACTTCAGCTATTTTGTCATTGCTTCATAATTGGTGAGAGAGAGAGAGAGACAGAGAGAGACAGAGAGACAGGAGGAAAGAAGTGGGGGACTTTTCTGTATGAAGGTATGGTATTCTATACACTAAGTGCATGCTTTGCATATGCCACTCAGTGTTTCGTGATGAGGCTGTTGGTGGCATTCACACTCTAGAATAGAAGTTCACAGCTTTACTGTTAAAATCTCAAGCCTTCCTCAAAGCAGGTGCATGTTTTATTTAATTACTAGGCCAAAATGATTCTTCTCTTGATTAAAAACTCAAAGCCTCAGACTTGTCTTTGAAATGATGAGTTGCCAATGTGGATGAATGAATAACACCAGTACAGAGGGTGATATCAAGAGAATGGGGAAAATATTTGCCTAAAACCATGTGGGAAGATGGTGGCATGTGAGAAAATAAAGATGTTCTTTCTTAATTTAAATGTCTCTGAAGTTTCANATTGGGGAATCAGGGAAGGGGAACAGGCAAGTTGCTGTCCTTTTGTTCTTCAGTCTAGTTATGGAGGACGTCATTTCACTGGCCCATGTTGGTATTATCATTGCACTCTTCCCAGGTGAGGCAGTCACTTGCCAGCCATTGGACAGCTACTCACAGTGGCTCACGGCAGCTCACAAAAGCTTATGCCCGCTGCCGGCCAGCCCCACTGCAGCCTATGCCATTGCCAGCGACTCACGGCAGCCCAGCTCCAGGTCGAGCTGTTGTTCACCATCTTAGCTGTAGAGGGCTCAGTATCACTGGCCCTCATGTGGGATCCAAACCAGGGCCCTGCTGCTCAGAACTGGTGTCCCAACCCAATTCCTAACCAGCGCGCCACTCGGCCGGCCCTCGTGCTACCTTTGTAGTCACACACACACCCCTTCCCTCAACCACCCCCAACCCCTGGCAACCACTAATCTGTTCTCCATCTCTCAAATTTGGTCATTTTCTGATCTTTTTTGAAAACTGAAGAAATTGATTTGCTTTTTCCTTCTCCCAGTTGAAGCATCCATGTAATAAATGACTTAAAAGTCAGTGCTTTAAATTTTTAGTTTCTTAAGAAAAATCTACATGCTTCCTTTTACCAGAGAGAACACACAACCCAGCAAGTTTTAGGGCTTTAGACACTGATGGCTCACAACACGCAGTAAAACTCACCCTGTACCTGCTACATGTACTTCTCTCAGCCTTTCAGTAGATTTTTGCCCTCTTTTATTTTCAGTTTTCTTATTTTTTGTGTAACAGGTATCACTTTGGGATGATGCTTTACTAATTTTTGAAGTAAGTAAAACTGCCTTGTTGTGGTAACAAAAATGTTTAGCATCATTGACTGCTTACCAAACCAGACACTCTCCTAAGTGCTTCACATGGATTAACTCATTTTATTCTCACAGCCCTAGGAGGCAGCAAAGGAAACTGAGGCACAGGAAAACTGAGTTACTTGCCTGAGCTCATAACAGCTAGTGAGTGCCAGGGCCAGGATTCAAACCTGGGGAGCATGGCTCCAGAACCCATGCCTACACCTCCCAGTTTGTGCTGTAAAGTTAGTGCCTTACTAAGAAGCTTCTTCAAGGAAGAACTGAATTGCTCTCTTAAACTTAAGAAATTTAATTTTTGTTGCAGCAATTCTTTCTTGCTGTTTAAATTTTTTTTTTAAACACCTACCTGGTGGTCTGTGACATATAGCCATCTGAATAGTACACAGAGCCCCAGGTAAATTCCCCTCCATCAGCTTCTCTCTGTACCCAATTCTTTCAATGAGGTAAAATCATTGAACGGTTATGTCATAAGTAGCTCACATGAGAAAATATGTCACAAAAGGGCAATGTAAGGGCCTTTGGTGAAAGACGAAAAAAATGAGCCAACCCAGTTAGCCTTGGTGATGGGGCAGGAGGAGGACAGGTAGAGGGTAAAAGCCTAGGGACTTTGAAATGCTTTCATCAGCTGGCGGAGCCCACTCCTCCCCCATTCGCTGTCATTCTGAGCCATGTCCATCTGCCCACCGTGGAGCACAGGCCAGTTGGCAGGATGGTAACAATCGTGTTGGAGTGAACAGGCCCTTCATATGGTATGGGAACCCCAGGTTCATGCGCTGCACATCCCAGACCACATCCTTAAAGCACTGTCATTTGGCTGTTTAGGGCGGCACACAGAAACAAGCGTGGGCATGGCTGTGTGTGTGCAATTCATGGCAGTCTGTACACACAGCAGGGTATGCCAAGCACTCTGAAAGCCAAAATGCAGAACACACTCACAGCAGAAATTCACCTGGAATACAACATTATCCAGAACAGTTATTCAGGAAGGTAATGTAACACACTATTTGGTGTGAGACTGGATTGTTCCGTTTTTCTTTTTAACACTTCGTTTTAATTTACAACTGATTAGTATCCCTCTGCAGAGTCCATTTATATGCTTTGCTTTGTGCTCTCTAAATTGAATATATTCAGTGAGCGCTGGGTCCCCTTTAGAATCTGGATACTTTGTATCTGACAGATGCCCACGATGGAAAGAAAAGGCCAAAAGGTCACGACGCACTACAGCTTGATTGAATGTAGTTAAGACTGCTCTTACTGGCCTCTTGGATATCTGTTAACATATATACAACTTTACCAGACTAGTGTCAGGCTTTTTATATTTTTAGGATATTCATAGTCAGTTTAATGAACTGCACTTTCACAGCTTCTCGGGAAAAAATATCTCAAGACACTGCTCTCCAAAATCCCTGTGCAAATGGCCAAAATTTAAGTAGCACTTGGAATGGCATTAAAGGAATATGACCATTGTGAAACTTGCAATATGTGTAATTCAATATGTTTTCTAACTGTTCTAATTGTTTTCTAATTGTGGATTACAGTAGAAAGTTGAAAATTTTTCAAAATTACTTAAAATATACATTTAAATTTATGACTAAAACTGACAACCTGAAATATCTGCTTACTTCTTAAATCAAAATTTTTGCATCTCTGGGTTTGAAATTTCATCTCAGATGTCCTGTTTTTTTTCCTTAGTATCAAAGAAGATAGCTCTGTTTGTGTTTTTTAAATGTTTCCACTTAGGCTAACTACTATTCAGCAACAATGCACTGCCTAAAATGACTCTGTTAGCTAAGAATTTAACTCATCGGCTCTTTCTGATTCCACATCACCAAGCAATTGAGATCTATGTGGAGAATGCCGGTGTCTTCTTTGTTCAAACATCCCTAAATTGTAATGATATCTTTTCAGGTTGCATTTTAATTAAAAAATCATTTTACCCTCTTTCCAGACTATTGGGAGTAGTGTTTGATCTCTCTTTTATGGAAAACAGCAGATTAAGCTTTGTTGTCTGTTTTTATGAGAGAGTAATAAAAACATTTTTTGCTTAATTTTAAGTTGGTATTGTTAACTCTTTCCCAGTCCATGGGAAGGAAATTTTAAGATTTTTTTTCATAGTGCATCAAGGGCTTTGCTGCTTGACTCAGAATGGATTTTAGATACCTACCCCCTCAGAGAAGTAGCCCCCCAGAATTGTCTAGGTACACAAAGTATCTCAAGGTCCCCAAGTCATGGTGCTGAAATGAAACATCAATGTGTTCATCCTGAACCAGGTGAAATAATGACCTAACACTCCCTCAGGCCTTTTTAGCACATAGACCAATGGCTGTTAATCCCCTAAGTGCCTCTCCCCACCTAAGGACACACTTGTCTTCGTGGTGTTGAATGTAAGAGCCCTGAGTGTGCACCAAGGTTATAGGCAAGGACAGTGTGATCTGGACAGACCCTCCTATGAACCATGGAGAAAGAGCACCCAGAGGTTTGGCCGTGATGGGCAGGAGCACACACGCTGACGTGCATGTCATCTGTTCATGGTTTCGGGGCCTGAAAGGCGTGTCCTCAAAACCTGTGTTCCACATATCCTTAACAGTGTACTAGTGACAGCTTTCCAACCGCTTGTTGTTCCTCTAAAGCCTAACCTTTCCTCAGATGCCATTTGTATTGTTCAGCCACCATAAAAAGGAACAACAAAGTTCACAAAAGGAACTTCAGGGAAGATGACTCAGTAAAATTGCATTCCCAACCACCATAGCTCCCAGAGCAAATTATTTCATTAATCTACATCAGCAATTCTTGGGAAGCTTTATCGTTCATATATAGGAATTTGTTTAAACCTAGGATAATACTAAGATCTGAAAATGAGTGAGTGGTTAGATTTTTTTTCTATCTTTTTGGTCTTTTAAAGTATATCACTAAAGACTTATAAATGAAGTTCACATGTTTTAATTACATATGACACCATATATTTCAATTAATCTTTTAATTATACCTATGTCTATATAGGGAAATTTGAGTTTCTTATCAGAGATATTGCAATTATTTGTATGATTCAAGTAGAAACCATGTTATTGGTTTCTTTTCTTTCTTTTTTCTAAGAGAAGTAAGCCTTTATTTTCCTTGTTTCACAAATAAAGTTGGCTGTGCTAGTTGCTTTTCATGTTATGGGTTTCTTATTGTGACTTTATTCTTTGATTTTAAAAATAGTGAAATATAGACTTGCCTAAAACATGAACAAAGACTGCTAGGGGAGCTAATAAGATAAAGAGAGTCCTAGAAATCATTGTTTTATGGTAGCTCTAGCTAATAAAGCCAGTTAAGAGCAAATATCCCCGGGAGAATCATTCCATGTCCCTAGAAGCCATTTGAAGAATGGTTTGCTTAAACTTATCATGTTTTACTCCACAGTTAATATGTTTAAATGTATACTTTTTATAAGGAAAAAGTGTTTAAATGACAAAGTACGTTCCTAACATGTATAACAATCTAAAGTTAACCCTGTAACTATAACTCCTAGGTGATGCCCGTTTATGTGTAGATGATCTTTGGAATCATTAGGAGTTTTGTCTTCTCTCTCTCCCTTTCTGCATCCACTGCTGTAGTCATTTTATCGAACAAGGCAATGAATTTATCTCCTTTCCTCTGAATCTAGATGTTCTGGGACCTCTGTGGCCGCAAAAGCCATTGTTCTCTGATGAGATTCCACTTGAACTCTTTGCCATTGACACTTGAAACATGATGTCTCTTCCTAAACTGATCACCTCCAATTAGCTGGTCATGATTTTAATTTATGGTTGATCTAGTAACTCACGCATGGTTTTCCTGCAGTGTATCAGCCTTTCCTTCAGTATGAGATCATTCACCTGCTCCACCTTTACATTTCTCAGGGTAGAGTCACTGCTTTCGTTTTCTAGGTTACCCACCATAGAATCTGTTTCCTAAACTGTTGTTAAATTAACCATCTTCTTGGTTGGGGTGACTGGCAAGCAGCAGATTTAATTCAATGCATGATACTCAGAGTCCAATTTGGTACAGCATACCACATCTTCCACAATTAGCATTTGATCATCTAAATATTCCTGGATGTGGTCCAAACTGTTCTCTCTTGTTGTCAAAGTACTACAAAAATAAATCCATGTTTTGGTTTTGAAAAGAAATTTTTAAGCAGTTGGTAAAAACATTGTTCCCAGATACATATATTGAGTTTACATGTTAGGAACTGGGATTATTCATTACCTAACATTTCCAAGACTCAACTCGTCTGCAGTTCTAAGTAATACAGAAGATTCTCAGCACAAGATGGGGATGGGGGGTCAGGGGATGTTGTGACTAGTCACAAAGTGACAGATTCTCACAAGGTCACAAGGACACCTTGACCCTCCCCTGCCAGGCCCCATCTGCTCCCATACTGCTCTCTAGGCTCACAGTTGATTGTTCTATACCTACAGAAAGAATGGACATGAGCTAGTGCTATTTTCAAGGTATAGCTACCTTGAAAGAATGGTGTCAAGTTCCTCAGAAGTTTTTAAATGGAGAAATCATTGTTGATGTCACTTGATACCACATTTTCAAAAATCCACTGTTATAGCTACTTATGGGCACAGGCCTTGAGTAGAATCACTGGTTAAAAAGAAAACAACAACATAATAAGATCTTAGCAATATGGTGATTTCAGAGCTATTTCTCAGAATAGGCAGTTCCAAGTTTATAACCTTGGGGTTTAAGGTACATGATAAGTTTTATGATCAATATATCAGCCAAGTTATGGGTTAAATAGGATTTAGTGGGCTGGACTGGAAATCAAGCCCCTGTGTAAACATTTCCCTTAGGGACAATGTCTTTGATGCTCAAGGGGGTAAGAACAGAGCAGTCGTCTCCCCTCTGATTAAAGGTAGGAAATGCTACCCAGAGCTTGGAACAAGGCAGTACCATAGCGCAGAAGGCAGTCCCACTCCTAGAGACCAGGAGGGTGCCTGTTCAAGGTCCCCCATGCACCCCCAGCTAGCCACCTAGTCTAGCCACATGTTTATCTTTCCAAGGTACCGCAATGTTTGCAACTGAACAGAAACCAGGGTTACTCTAATTTCTGTTTAGCTTCCTCCCCGGTCCCAGCAACCCCCATCCTACAGCTGGAGGAGTGTTGCACCCACAACAACAGCGCGACGCTGTCCTGGAAACAGCCCCCTCTATCCATGGTGCCCGCTGAAGGATACATTCTGGAGCTGGATGACGGCAATGGTGGTCAGTTCCGGGTAAGCAGAGAACCTACAACTAGTTCACCAAAGCCAGTGCCTACGTCAGAGGACCCACCATGGGGTCTCAGGTCCAACTATCCTGCCTCTCCTAAGGACAGGCCATCCCTGCAGGGCCTGACTACTCTGCACCTGAGGCCTGCTTTCTCCTTGTACCATCAGAGATGGGCAAAGGAGCCTCTAAATAGAAACGGTCTTACCCTTCTTAACAGAAAGTACGTGTAGTAGTGAGAACTCTGGAGTCAGCTGCATGCATTCAGGCCCAAAGTCCACCACTTAGCTGTGTGACTGTGCCCATTGCTCACCCTTTGAGACTTCAGGTCTCATTTGTAAGATGGGGATGATGATAATAATATGTATCTCATGCATTGTTAAGAGTCAGTTAGATAATCCGTATAGAATTCTTAGCATGCTGCTATCTCCTACGCCAACCTTCTTAGTGTCACACTAGAGAGTTATCATTTCAAAGCTGTCTTTTGAATGCAAATTATTTTTACTCATTACATCAGCATAATGCTGCAAACTGTACAGCTAAAAAGGGAAGAACTTGCCTAACCTATGCTAAAGATGCATTATGCTAGGATTTATTTTAAGTCTTTGAAATGTCATTCTTCCTCCCTTCCTTCTTTCCTCCCTCTTCCTTCTGTATTGTGATGAAAACCTATACTCCTGTGGCTTTGAATGTAGTTTTTGTGACAATTCCTGAAGTTATTAGTGGAGTTATAAGCACAGCATACAGACCACCCTCATGTTTTCAAACCTGTTTTTTCACAAATCACACAGATGGATGAAGAGTTCAGTAGGTCTAATACACTGTATAAATGCCCTGTCAATAATAAGTATTTAAAATGCTAACAATAACACCCAATTTTAAGTTTTTAGCCCTAGTTGCTAATCACTCCCATTCATTAAGCTGCCAGGCGCATGCTAACTACAAGGCATTATGCTAGTCAGTTTGCACATATGACCTCATAATATAATCCTCACGCCAACCTCATAAGGTGGGTATTACTGCCCCATTTTACAGATGAGGAAACCGAGGCTAAAAGAGGTCAATTAAGTGGCCCAATACCTCACAGGATTCGAATCCAGATCAGTCTGATGCCAAAGCACTTGCTGCGAACCAGTGGGCAACACTACCTCCCTAACCCCTCACAAGGGTTCCCATTAAGTGGTGGTCTGTTGTTTGTTGACCCTCAGGAAGTGTACGTTGGAAAAGAGACCATGTGCACCGTGGATGGTCTTCACTTCAACAGCACCTACAACGCTCGCGTCAAGGCCTTCAACAAAACAGGAGTCAGCCAGTACAGCAAGACCCTGGTCCTCCAAACGTCCGAGGGTAAGGCCCTTCAGCAGTATCCCTCAGAGCGAGAGCTGCGAGGCGTCTAACATGGCTGACAAGCCGGAGGTAACCCCACCACTGCCCACATTCTGAAGTGTTTCCATGACTTGCTCTGCATTCTCCCACCGCTAGAGAGCCCATGGTATGTGGATGTGACCAAACCAAAGAGTCCACAGCAGCAGTTCCAATGGCTTGGGCCGTCGGCTTCCTTTGATAACACCCTAAATAAGCGGCGGTTTGAAGAAGCTGAAAAATGAAGGCCTGAATGTCCCCCCGTGTGTAAGATCAATGTATGTAGGCTCTAGGGCAGGCTCCCATTCTCCATGATCCACATCCTTTGCCAGTTTGACCCAGATGATTCTAAGTTGCTTTATAGTGCTTGTTTGTTCCTGGGGGTCAGGGGATGGTGGGGGGCAAGGTTCTCTCCCGCTGTGGATTTGTCTCCCTGACTCTGTTTCCAATGGGTGTGGGAAGCTAGAGCTATTCAGGGAGGACCTACTGGCCACGCCTGGCTTAGCAAGCACAGATCGCTTCCATTTCACAGCCAGAGCCCAGGCCGGTGGCACCAGGACCAGGCTCCCTGTGGGCACCAGACAGGAAGAGACCAACAACTCCGCATTACCTCGCCATGACATCTTTGCCAGCCCCTCTAGGCGTGGTTAGGCTGCCCAGGGCCACCAAGCAAGGTCAATCAATCTCTAGAGAACTTTTGCTGCTTGGCTACACTGTCAATATTTTGGTCATCCAAAGCAAGCCGTCCATCTGAGAAGAGGGGCTTGGATTAGATGGTTAGGTACAACCGCTGAGGCTTTTAACACTTTCATTTTAAAAGCAATTGCAACACATGAAATTAAACCTATGAAGAGGTTTAAGCCTATCTGTGGTCAGTGCCAAAGCATTTTCAGACCTTCTGGATGTTATTTTAGTCGTAGAAGTCACCCCGCCCCACCGGCATTCTTCATAACGTCCCTCTGCAGAACTAATTATGTTGATTTTGGTCAAATTCCAGATGTTAGCCAAAAGAACTGTGATAGTGTTTCCTCCCCAACCCCTCATTGCCCATAAACCTCAGCGTGTGCCAATCACCCCTACAATGGTTCACATGGTTACAAACAAGCACAACTTCCCATCCCACAGCAAGGCTGATAGGCTCCTGGCCATAAAAACCATGCGTGGGGAGCAGTCATAAGTCTGTGAGGGATGCTATTCAGAGAAGGATTTGTTGAAGGAACAATGTCCACGTGGCCGGTCCGCATTCGGGTTATAGGGATGTGGCAGCTAGAACCTCCCCTGGAATGATCGTTTCAGCAGTTTCTCTCTGGGATGACCGATCAGCCTGAGAGCAGTTGCCTCTTTTCCCAAAGTACCATGTTAAATACTGACGCCCTCCAAGAGTTTGTCCTAGATGCAATACAGAAGGCCTCATTTCCCATGTGTGTACAGGAGGTTTGATTGAAAAGTGAGGTGCATGCCATAAGATCAGGAGACCATTTGTAGCAATGTTGCTAATATGTGTCATCAGACTTAGGAAGAACCTATTTCTATTCATAATACACCATGGACATCATACAGTTCTGCCGAAACCAGTTATTAGCATAGCAGCCTGAGCACTTACGTCTCTCTTTTCATCCTGCAGGAAGATGTAGTTTCTAGCTTTCACTTAATGTTCATAAGATTATGGTGTCTAATAAATTACAAAGTTGGAACTGTGATCCTTGGTACCACGCAGTCACAGAACTGGGGGTCATTTTCTAAGAGATATTAATGGAACAAGTCCTCTTCCAACAAAGAAACTGTACTGTAGAAGTTCATTTCCTCCATAAATTTTATATATTGTGTACAAATATAAGGTATGTATCTAAATACAAAAGAAACCTTATCATCGTGTAGATATCAGTATTCTCTGTTACTGCACAGAATGATTTTCTCATGATGAAATAAAGTTCGCACACATACTTTCTCCATAACTTTGGTTTGTTCTATTTGTTTCTCCCTCATTCTAATTCACTCAAACAGTGAGACAAGACTTTAAAAGCAAGAAAAAAATACTGAATAGCTTATTTTTGAAAAAAAAAATGATTGATCAATCTGCAACAATAGAGAAAACCTAGAGAATTAAAGAATTCTCATGTTTGTTTTTTAGAAATCAGTGAGAAAAACACCATTAATGGAGTTTTGATATGTGAACTGAACTTACACTTGATCAGTCTTATTTCCTACAGTTCCTGGAAAAGTTTACGTTGGAGATTACTTTTTCTTTGCTGCTCTTGTGAGTGATGTGGTGGTTGGTTTTCGCTTTCTCCTGTAATAAAATCTTTTGCATCCTTTTTAGCAAGGGCTTACCCCTTTCCAAAGTTCAAAACAAAAAGTCTGTATCACAGAAGGGTACAGTTTCATATGTGATAGCAAATCTAACTTGTATTTTCATGCATTAAGCCTGAGGTTTAAATCAGTCCTCACTTATACTCTGAACTATCACAAAACCTTCTGCTGACCGAAAGGTACCATTACACAAGGCAGATCAAATGTTCACATTGTTAGGAATTCCGATTGTTTTTTTCTCAAAAGCAAATTTCTTTATTTTTTTATGTGTTGGGCAATGTTTGATAAGTGCCCACTGTGTACTAGGCTGTGGGTACAGTGTGAAGCAGACATCACCCCGGTGTCACGGAGCTTACAGCCTAGGAAGAGAGACAGGCCTTAAATAAATAGACACACGAACAGTTACATACAAGTTATGATAAACACTGTGAAAGAAGGAAAGGGTACCAGCAGGAAAACATAATTTATATAGGGGAATTGGTCAGGAAAACAAGAAAAATAATTTAATTCAATAGCAATTATAAAGAATATGTTACTAAAAGAAAAAAAGTAAAGGAAAACGCATTATTATAGGAGTTCAAGTTTGGCTAGTGCCCTGAAAGCAAAGTTCTTGGGGATAAACTTAATACAGCCATGCAGATAAAACTAAAGCAAATTACCCTGACTTAAGAAGAAATATAACGATAAGCAATTAAGAATTTTAGTGAAATTTTAAAATCAGGCCCACAACCCTGGTTGTATACTCTTATCTTTAACGTAATTCATTTACTAGCCATCATGGCTGTATTACAGTCTTTGAAACATCTGCCAAAGAGCCTCAGTTGAAAATATTATGTAATAAGACCTTCTTAATACATAGAGTTCTGGGCTCATCTGTGTCTGGGAGACTCTACCAAAAAAAAAAAGTTAGATGCGCTGAGAACAGGATAGGAAATTTTTGTTTATTATTCCCTACTTTCCCTCTGCCTGTCTGAACAGACTATACCTTTTTTTTTCTTTAATCTGGTGAGAAAATGAAATAGGCCAAAGGTAATATTTGTGAGGTCACATAACTCAGGAAGACTGTTAAGTGACTGAAAAGAGGTCTCTTTCTGACCTCCCTCAGCTCTGAGTCTGGGAGGGAGTTGCTTCCTGCAGCCTTCTCAGCAGAGGTGGAGCTGCAGCTCATCAAGCCTTTAGGGGATTAGAACAAAACCCTATGCAATAAATACTCTAACACAAGTCTTTGTGTAAAAAGATTATTTAGTTTTTTAATTTATATTTTCATAGGAATAATATTCTGATTGTTTTAGTCTAAGAGCTACATGAAATAAGTTACAACATACTGCATGGAAAACGACCATGATTTAAAGAAGAGGGAAGTCTTCGGGGGTGGGGGGGAGGATGGAGAGAGAGTGAGAGAACGCGAGCGAGAGCAAGAGTGGGAGTTGAGAGTGAGAGGGGGAGAAAGAGAGAGAGAGAGAGAGAGAGAGAGATCCAAACAGAGGGACTGTTTGCAAGGCAAAAACTTCAAAATCTGCCTTGATCTGACCATGAAAAGGAAACCTCATTTATTGGAAAAAAACATTAAGTGAGCACCTCCATTTTGTCACACTGAGCTGGGCCCCAGCACCACAGAGGCATGTAAAGCATGGCCCCTGCTCTAAGCACATGGGTTTTACTCCTCCTCCTTCCTGAACTTCTTGGTACCTGACTCAGAGTGCCTAAAACTATGGGCCCCCCTCACCTCTCTAGAACTACAATATCCACCCTACAATCTAGATTCATTTTACAATCAAGACGTAAGCCACAATGACCTCTGATGGCATGGGGGGCAGGGGAGGGCGGGGAGGGTTGGAATTCAGGCATAGAAGCTCCATGCTGTCCTCACAGCAGAGCCCTTGGTCTCACTCAGCTCTCACTTACCCTTAGTTTACACACAGTTCCGCTGAACTCAGTGACCCATTTGCAAAGAACACAACAGACTAGAAGCATCATATTAGAAGAGAGAAGGTTTTGGTACAGAAGTGAGTTGAGGCTGTTGACAGCATTGAGCAGGGAAGGTAACTGGAAAAACTGGACCAAAAAAAAAAAAAAGCCACAAGAGAACATTCTGTGGCATCTGTTCTGATTAAGAAAGTCAGAAAGTATATAATGCATTTTAGAAAAATTTCTACCTAACACATTTAAAAGTCAGTATATTATCTGGAACCCTTGGTAATGAGGTATTAGGTATATCTCAGAGGGCTTTATGGAATCACAATATGAAATGAGCCCCCAAAAACTATGATAATAAACCCTAATCTATTTCGTGTCAAGTTTCTAAGAACTTTCTTCATTTTCCATTAAAATATCCCATGGAAAATGATACTACGTAGGCTGTAGATTAGACCTCTGTACCGTCCCATTGCTAATCTCCAAACCCTTCCTGTTCTGTTGCTGCAGCATTCCAGATTTACCCTATATCTGTTTCTCGTTGCTGCTTTAACACATTACACAAGCTTAGCAGTTTAATAACACAAATGTATCACCTTACAGTTCTGGAGGTCAGAATCGTAAGTGGGTTTCGCGAGGCTAAAAGTGAGGTGTCAGCAGGGCTGCACTCCTTCAGGCTGTTCTCGGGGAGAAGCCACCTGTATTTCTGGGCTCATGGTTCCTTCCTCCTCCTTCAAAGCCAGAAGCACAGTATCTTCCAG